CCGCCGGGGTGGCGTCCTGCGCCACAGCCACGAGCACCTCCCAGGCTGCTGGTGCTGCCGGGGCGATGTGCTGCATGGGGCTGTTCCTCTGGGCCACCTCCCTGCAGGAGCCACCACAGTGGCAGCTCTGAGACCACCTGTGCCCTTGGCTGGGCACACCGGCTGGGGCGGACATAGGGGCAGAGTGGTCACAGAGCCCCTGCCATTCCCCTGCCTGTGTCCTGTCCCCGTGGCTGTCCCCACAGTGTGCAGGCTCACCGGCTCATGTTCAATGCATCATTCACGTAGGTGTGCAGAATGGGCTCCAGGTCATACACACCACTCACCAACACTGCTCCTAGAGGCAGAGGCACTGGCAGGTGAGGGGCTGGCAGCTGGGGGAATCCTACAGCCCTGACAACTTCATCATCAGTCGGCTGGGGCAGCTCATCCCCTCAGCTCTGCAGCCCCACAGCCTTGTCCCAGGTGCAGCACCAGTTCTCATCCAGCTTCTGTGCTGGGACATTGCAACACTACCTTTGATATTTGGCACCACTCGGAATTCCGTCCAGTCCATGGACAGCACCATGGCTGCCAGGTGTGCCCCTGCTGAGTGTCCGCACAGGTAAATGTCTCTGGAAGGAGGGAGCCATGAGCCAGTGCAGGGAGCAACTGGCAGGGACACCTGGGTACACCTAAAGACACCCAGGGACACTCTGCTCCATGTGGAGGAGGCAGCACAGCCTGAATGTGGCAGCTTTCCCAGTCCACTGGCTGCTGCCTTGTGCAGGCAACTCCCCAGTGCTCAGACTGAGGCGCCAAAGCCTTTGTCCCAGTGCAGGGCTGGTTTGTCCTCCCACTCACCCCCACACACAGGTCCCTGGGGGCTGCCCACCTGATTCCAGGGTACTGCTCCACCAGGAAGGCGAGGCTGCGCCGCACCTGCAGCACCATGGTGTCCATGTGGCCTGGACAGAGGGCAGAGGGCAGGGTTGGAGGGCACTGGGCCAGGCAGGCAGCGCAGCCTCTGCAGGACAGCACCTACCTTTGGGGGCTATGTCGT